TCTCCAATTTAGTCATTGACTATGGCAATTTTAAAGTATTGTGCTGTAAAAGCAAAAGAAATAAGACAGAGTATAAGACCTCTGCCATTATCCCATCCTTCACAACCCCACAGACATCATTTTGCTACACTGCTTGGGGAGGTGCCATTTTAATACAGCTCCTTTAAATATAATCAAATCTATTTTATATTCTGCTCTAGTGCCCATCAGGGTGCTAACATTATAATAACATCACACCCTACTGGTGTTCATCTTCAAGAGCTGTTTGAGCCAGAGGCTGAATAAAGATTTTTCAGCTACTCTGGCATTAACTGCATTTTATAGTCACTTAAGTGTAGTGTAACTTTAAAAATGTATATTTGGTTCTTGTATAATATACAACACAAGGGTGAACTGGAGAACACCCAACACAATCAGTTATCTGCAGACATCCCATAGATGCTGTATCTGATTTACCAGCAGGTATTCAGGGCTAATAAAGGAGATTGGTATCAGGGAGGTGAAAAATGTCAGTACAGATCGGATGCCAGCCGATCACAGAGCACTGAAATCATTGCCTGAGCAACCACACGCAGCTACCATTCAGTTTAGCTAGGCTTTGCAGCTAATAACACCATGTTGTCGTAGTAATGGCTACAAAGGCAGGGACAATCTGGAATTAAAAGGAATGAAGAGTCCATGATACACAGCAGGGGAGTTTGAAGAAAGCTCAAATCCATTAAAGCCCACGCGTAATTTTTAAAGCCAGGTTAAAAAAAAAGGGTGGGGAGGAGGGGAGTGTTTGAGAAGAGCTGTGTAGAGAGATTTAGGAAAAATGAAGCTTACCGACTTTGTAGTGTATGCAGCCTTCCAAGTCTCCCACGGACACCCAGCCTTGTCGCTTCTCCACTTCCGGATCGTTGTGCAAAATCTTGTTTCTTAACCATGATAAATAATAAACCCGCAGCTTATTCTTTTTACCTGACATTTACAGGAGAGAAGGCGAGATATACTATTTTAATTCTGTGCAGTGCAAACCTGCAGTATTCATTTGCTGGAGCTTATATGATCCAGCGCAGGGAGCTTTTACTGTTACAAGCTGGGCCATGCGAGAAGAGAGGCTATCAGTGTAGAAAGTAATACTGTGGTTTGTGTTGACATCTTACATAGAGATTGATACACCAATGACATGTCAGCCCTCTCCATATCTGCACTTATATTTTTTGCCTCTTTCCCAAGTTTTCATGCAACAGTCTTTCTTCCACCATAGAATTTTTTTTTCGTTTGCACCTAAAAAGGCTCTCCCAGGGCAAAGGGAGAATTACAGACATTTCCTTAAAAAGCCATTCTGGTTAGATACATTTCTTTAGCTCTGATTACTTTACAGCCTCTTGTGATAACATCTGTTCTCTTTTCCTGGTCGAGGTATTTATTTCATCATTCTTTACCTTTGGATGTCAGAGGCATATAAGGTCTATAGCAATCTAGACTCTGGAAAAAGGCTCCAGATGTTGCATCACATGGAAATTTGGACATAGGCCATCAGGGAAGTATAGTTTTCACCTGTGCTACATGTGCTGTGCCCAGTCAGCATATTAAAAGAAGCTAGTTCGGCCCTATCCGTGCGACGTTCTGATCCTGTAAAGCACTGACCATCCTTAACTCCCCCTAAGGTCAATGGAAGTCATAGACCTCAGCAATTCTTGCAGTCTTATGTACACAGGGGATGCAGATGTTGTTTTGGTTAAGTAACACAGCACTGATACTAGTTTGCAGGGCAGGGAATGGCTTGATTTTGTAGCTTGTTGGCTATATGGTAATATTATATAACAAATAAACCCAGGCTTACTCAGAAACAATGAGATGATTGTAGCCAGTAAGTTTTAAGAGTCCAATACACAGGCCACATCCAGACAAGTAGGGGCATGAACTGGCAGCGGCACAAATAGAAGTTGTGGCCGCTACTTTGTGCCTGAGTGCATGCCCCTGCATGTGTGCTTTGTTGAGGGACAAATTGTCCCACTGTGGGCAAACTGCCCTTGCCCAGCTCTTCCCAGCTCTTCAGCCAGGGAGAGCTGGAGGCTGGGGCCAGCATCTGTGCTGGCCTCAGTGGTATAAATTGGTGGCCTGGTAGTGTGCTTGGAGCAGCAGGAGAACAACTCAGACAGCACAAAGGCCTGGCTGGCAGCCAGAGCATTGCTCTGGAGGGTCAGGCCTCTGTTTGATACACACTTTTTTTGCGTGGTTTGTGCCGTTGTTTTTTTTTCCAGTGACTTTTTTTGCTACCAGGGAATCCCAGGAGCAAATTTTGCCACTGCACTAGAAATTTGTAGCATGTTTTACCATTTACTGCACGCGGTTTGTGGCACCACAAACCGTGCGCCCCTGCTCGTCTGGATGCAGCCGCTTTGTATATCCCCACAGACCATTTGACATATTAAACATTTGACATATTAAACAGGTAGTAAAATGTCCTGAATGTCCTCTGAATCTGAAACGAGAAGGTCTTAGCAAGTGACGACAATACAAATGTACTTTCCTGTGAACAGCTCCCTTACGGTGTCCTACAGGAATCAAGTGTATAACCTACTTTACAACCTAATTCTTTGTAATTTCTTCCCACCCCACAGTGGAACAGCTACTTTTAGACAGCGAACAAACCTGAGATGGTAATTAGCACATTGAGTCCTTCCAGAACATCCATTTGCTGGAATTGTCTCCTTGAAATCAGTGAGTAAACTCGTCCTTGACCACTTCTGTCCAGCAGCCACAGCCCATTCTCCGTGCCCACTAGTAAGTTTACTCCTGTTAATAGATGAAAAACAACCATAAATCATCTGCTGAATCACAGTCCGTTTCAACTCTAATTGCTTTTCTGTAATTGATTCCCTTCAGTCTTCTGTTTCTTAACTCGACTCATATTTTCTCCATCGCTATTCAGTCAACCTCCTGATCTAAGTGACTTAAAAAATCTGATCCTCTAAGGATACACTCGGGCCCCTCCCTAGCATAATATTTAAGTACCGCTGTAATTGCAGCATAAGTACTTCCGATGAAGTCAACCTGTACTTAAAGTGCAAGGAAAATGTTTTGTGGATGAGAACGTCCAACACCGACTGTGACCATCACACAATTTCTACTAACCCTCTCAGTATTATGGAGGATGATTTCATTGTCCCTTTGGATGTACAAACCAGCCCCAAAACTTCACCCTCAAATTCCATGA